AGATCAATCAACCTGCATCATCTGGGAGGAGGACTATACTGAATGCACGAGCTAAAGAAGAACCGTATTTGCATGCTGTATGAGCCAAACCTCAGGTCTAATAATGATGATTTTGGTGGAGTTGACATTTATTATCATTGTAATCATTTTACTTGCAGGTGTTCTGAGCTGAAAGAGGGCGAGGACTGTCGGGCAAGTGATGAAGGAGGGAATGATGGCTACGACGAAGATGAAGACGGCAGCTTCTCCTGGCTAAAGGAGATGGGAGTCCAGGACAAAATCAAGAAGCCAGACAGCATCTCCATACAACTGTATCCTCTCTGACACTGTCAGCTGTCCTGTTTGTGTTTCGTTCCGCTTTGCTCAGGCTCCTGCAGATAGCTTTACGCCCAGTTTCATGCAACACAACAACCAGTCACAGCTCCTTGACCATTGGCGTAGTCGTAAGGAAGGTCACGCTGTGTCGCTGGACCACAAGCCGGAGTCTGTGGTGTGTGTGGAGGGCTCACACACTTTCACCCTCATCAACTTCCTCATCAACTGTAGGAGTGTGGTGGCTTCAGCCGGTTCCCAGGCTGGCTTACCTCCGACGCTGCTGGCTCCCATCGCTTTCAGAGGAGCTGCAATGCACACGCTGAAGGTATGGCGGCAAACGCGCGCCATATACACGCAGTGAACACACACACACACACACACACACACACACACACACACACACACACACACAGCCGTCTGATTGAGATTGTTTTTCAGGCCCGCAGCGTGAATGTGAAGACCCAGGTTGGTTCCACCTTCCAGAACATCAGCAGTCTGGAGGTCACAGGTACAAAACTGCAGGATCTTGAATCTATAAATATTCATAAATATTTGCAGCCCATGTTTAATATTTCAACTGAACCCAAAGATGGCAGAAGGCTATGCTGCCGTTTGAGGGCATTAGTGCAGTTTTTAATGTAATTAACTGAAATGTTTTATTTATTTTTCCGTTTCCTTCAGGGCCTATCCTCCCCTCCTCTCTCTACACCATCACAACCCTCCTTCGGTCTGCACAGAAAGGAAACTTCTCAGCTGCTCTTTACACACACACACCTACTGCTGTCATGAACACACACACCGCCGAGCAACAGGTAAGACGGCCACATACAGTACTGTGCAAAGGTTTTTAGGCAGGCGTGAAAGAAATGCTGTAACGCAAGAATGCTTTCAGAAATGTAGATGTTATTAGATTATATTCGTCAATTTGAGAAAATGCGAAGCGATTTGCCAATAATATGTGCTGTGACCAGCCTTTGCCTTCAAAACAGCATCGATTCTTCTAGGTTCCCTCCCAACAGTCCTTCAGTGGATTTAGGCAGCCTCAGTTGTTTCTCTCTCTTCATGTAATCCCAGACAGACTGGATGATGTTGAGATCAGGGCTCTGACAATCATATCTGAAATTGACATCAGGCGAGACTTGACAGTACACCGATGATCTGAAGTTAGGCACCGTCTATAAGGTGGTTGTAAATTGCCAATTTCAGATATTTCTCAATAGCATTCTCATTTATTTACTTATTATTTTATCAACACTTGGCACAAACATTAATTTCATCTGAGCTTCCTCACATTTTATACAAAGCCAGCTTATGCTGTACGGCCCAGGAAGCTGTTCAGACCTGTATCTTCCCATTGTTTAAACCCAAATTACTGTCTTCACTATTTCTTTCTACCTGAATCATAAACAGTTTCAAAGCTTCTATTGAGCTCAGTTTTGGGCTTCTAAAACTGCGGTTTAAACACAAGTTATGCTTCAGTATTTGATTAATTTAGCCTCATGGTTTCAATTTAGTGTATTATTTGAGTATAAATGGCATTAGAAAACAACACGGCACAGAAAATGAAGTAGCTCAGATAACTTTCGGTGTCGGTCCTTCCTCTCCAAAGCATAAATCTGAACACTGATCTGTGTTTTTGTCTGTTGGTAGGAATGCAGTGGTATGATATGTCTCTATTACATCACCTAGTGGTAATTCACTAAACATGCACTGACTCCAGCTGTCTGTGTGTTTGCAGGATACTGGTGGGTCGGTGGACCTGTCTGGTTGTGGTCTTCATCCTGCTTCCATCCAGCAGCTTCAGCAGCCCTCTAGCCTGGGCAAGACCGCTCTGACTCACATCAGCATGAACAACTACAGCTACACCTGGAAGAACTGACGGAGGGAAGTATCGGTGACAGTGTGTGTTCCTGGAACTATTAGCGCTCTGACAACTAGAACGTGTGCGACGGCAAAAGTGTCACTTTACAAAAGATGATCCCAACAGACACATGAAGTCAAACCAGCGCTCCTCTGAGTTTATATTTCTTTTAAAATGCATTTGTAAACACATTTTATTGCTTTTAAATTAGTTTTTAAAGCTGTGCTCTCGTTTATGATTGGTTCATTCTGAATGTATTTTTAATGTAGATAAATACAATCTTAATTTGCTTTTTTTAAAGTGCATTTCAATTACTTCAAATTTGTATTTTGGATACATTTCTTTTTCACTTTTTTTTTCAGTGCAACTTTTATCATATTATTAAATTACTGGTGCGTTGTCACATGTTTTGAGTTTGTATTCCAGGACTGGAAGGCTGCAGAAATAAACACATTCTCTGTGTGAATTTAGTTTTTGCCGCTTGTTTTCTTATTCATTCTGTGGAGGCTGCATGTAGGCTTTCTGAAGTCCTTGTAATTGTCTCTCTTGTCCTTTGTCCTCATACTGTCTGGTCCCAACTGGGGCTGGGCAATATGGCTAAAAAAAAAATGTTATCATGATCATTCAGTATCGATAAATATAACGATAAATGTCAAATCATTGTTTCTGTCAAGTTTAAAGGCTGATTTTTGCGTCCGAGTGAAAGTTGAAGAAACCAGATGGTTAATTGATATGAGGTAAAACATTCAAAACAATTATGATAAAATCTTTTTTTCAACAAATATGCAACAGTAAAATGAAGTAAAATCTTTTTTCAGTTCCTTTTCCTCTATAAAATAAATATCTTGTTAGAAAAATAAGTGCTAATTTGTGATTCAAATGAATTCTATTATATATTTATTGAACATTTGTTACATTCTTATGTTTTATTGCCCAGCCCTAGTCCTAACGTAAATAAAATCTAGCAATACTTTCATCACATAATCATAAACTTTATTTATGCTACACTTCGTAAAACAGTTACAAAGTGCTTCACATGGTTGAACACAAATTAAACTCATTTAAAGACAGCCAAATCAAGCAATCTAAAATGACCAAGTTAAAAAGAAATAAGATTCCACAACTGTGTTACAGTTATAAAGGACATATAAGACAAGACAGAAATAGAAGGACGCACTAAAGTCAATAAAAGGCTGTTTTGTAAAGGTAAAAGATGTCCCTGAACCTGGATGGTTTCTGATTGATGTTGACATCAGTATGCAAGTTTCATTTAAAATGATACCAAGAAGCTCAGCAAATATTTATTTAGCATGGTGGTAGCAATTCACATGACAACAGATATAGTACAGTAAATGAGCTGCAACACAGGGTGAAACGCTGCAACTGATCCGTTTCTCAGACCTCTGCCTCAAGGGAAACCGCAGCAGCGTCCTCAGCTGTTTGGAGAGAGACGTGAAAAAGGATGTCCCCAGACAGTGTCCCATCCAAGTACTAACCAGGCCTGGCCCTGGGCATGTTTTCTGTTTGTCGTTTAGTATTAAACGACAATTTTGCGCATCATTTATAACCGACGACATGTGCATATCACAGCAGAACAATCACATTCAATTCTTAGATTCATAATGACCTAATCTGGCCTTTAAAAGGGCGTCACTTTGTGTTGAAACGTGCTGGGGGGACAGACGGCTCAGATTGGGGTGTGATGAAACACTTAAACGATGCACAATATGGGGTTATTTTAACACAATTTTGTAGAAATATTCAATGCTGAGAAATATGAGTGGCCGTTATAGGAGTCATCCCCCAAAGAAAAAACACTTATATTCCTGTATTCTGAAGAAACCTTTCTGCATCTATTTGTGGGGGATATGTCTTTATTTATGTAAACGGAAACACAAAATTCAGGTGACAATTCAAAATATAGTGCATTAATCAGTAGCTTGTATTTTACAGTGCACATTTGTTTCTGCTATATTTACATTGCAAATAAACCTTTCTTTCTCAAAGCATTTTCATATGTTATTTAGCATTTCTAGTTGCAAGATATTATTACATTGTGGTATCCAAAATTTGTGCATTTGACTCATAATAGTTCAAATTAGCACTGAAGCAGCAGGACAGAGGGTCAGTGACCCCCTAAGGGGAGAGCAGTGACTGGTGGTTATGTAGGGACTGAAACCTTCTATAGAATTGCCCTTGTTTTGTTACCTCAAATTACTCCTGTACCCTTCTATGGGTTTGACCTTTTACTTTGCAGACTTACACCCTTCTCTGGTACCTAACAGATACCTAAACATATCCTATATAAGCTTTGTTTGATGTACAGAGAGACAGAGTGGCCATCGGGCTGGGTCACTCTCCAAGCTGCTGCAGAGCTTGTAATTGATGCTGAACTCCTTGATTTAATAAACTTTTATGATCAAGAACAGTGTCAAGCGGGTTTCTTCTCAACACATCATCGCAGCATTATTGTTCGGGGACACCACAATATATTCAGTACATTTTTTACCAATGCTTTCAAAAAAAAAGAGATGGAGACAAAATTAGCCATATAAAAAATAAGTGGTGGGGACGCGTCCCCAGTGTAAAACACCGATGACAAATCATGATATTTAAAATCCCTAACTTTGGTCAACGAGGGCAGCGCTGGGAGGGGAAACGGTGACACCCGGAACACAGCGGGCGACTAAACAGTTCCTACCGGACCGGCAATTAGGTGGCACACGCAAACATGGCGGCCAACATAGAGCAAATTTTCCAAGATTTTATATTGAATAAAATCAGAGAAATTGAAGACCAGAATGAAGACAAAGCGTATGTGTCTGTTGTGTTTTGCATTATTCTTAGTGATGGTTAAATATAGTCAGCTAGCTGGTGAGGAGAACAGAACAAAGAGGAAGTGTTGCCCCGGCTACCATTAACGTTACCACACAAGCTAACGGTAGCTTTACAAATTATATACATTTATACATGTGAATACAGCTGGTAACGATGTTTTTAGAGGAGCTGGCGAGGTGTAAATAAAGCTGAGAGTAGTTCGTTAAGTGGGTAACGTTAAAGAAGTGCTGTTTGTATTTAATATGACAACAATGATTGATTATGTTGAACCGTTTTACTGGTTAGCTAAGTTCGCTTTTATATTGTGCATGTACGGCTGTCAAACTGCAGAAATGTGTTTCCTCTTCGCGAGAAAGATTATTTCTTGGCCTCCTCCCCCCCTTTTTTCCCCCCCACACACAGCGATTCGTGTGTGTTTCTGAGAAGTAAAGTCAAGTTTTCCTTGAGATAAGTCCTGAGGAATAATCACATAATAAACTTTAAATTAAATATAAATCTGATTTTGTGTTGCATTCCTTCCCGAGAGCCGCTGCTTGTAGGTTTTATTGAAGGTTTGTTTGTTATTAAAATAATGGATAACTTGGTAGTAATCCTGAAAATCTGAAACGTGCATCAGAGGGTCTGTTTCAGGTTTTACAACTCTTCGTCTTCTGAATACATTTCCACATTTAAGCACATGTTTCCTGTTATTTGACATTAGGACTGGGCGATAGATAAATTTTATTACCATAAAACATTTCAAATATCTTGATATATTATTCTATCATGTACAGGGATTGGATAGGTCTGAGAAGAGATCCCCTCACCGCAAATCTTATTTCTTTCAAGTGTAAGAAACCTGATGCTTAATTGTGGTTTTAAACTTTTCTTTATGGTCCGAAAAAAATACTTGAACAAATCTGAGGTAGAACATTCCCAGGGCTGGGCAATAAAACAATCATGATAATTATCGCAATATAGTTTTCCTCAATAAGAATGTGAAACACAAACAATGTAGAACTTGATTTTTCTCATGCATATTTGTTGAAAAAAGATTTTATCATAATTATGTTGAATGTTTTACCTCAGATTTGTTGGTTGATCCACTGTTTGGCATGAAGTGTTTGTTCTGACCATAAAAAAAGTTTAAAACCACAATTAACCATCTGGTTTCTTACACTTAAAAGAAACAGTAATCTGACATTTATTATGATAATTATCACGTATCGTAGCCCTACACGCCCAACTAAATAGTAATATCTCTTTTTCTGCCTCTGTGTGTCCATCAGTGCCGCCGAAGGAGTGGATGCTGGCGATGACATGGATGCAGCTAAGACTGCCGCTTCAGAGAGAGACAAGCGGGAAGACTTAAAGGGCAGTGGTTCGCAAAAGAAACATAAGAAGCACAAAAAACACAAAAGTAAGAAGAAGAAGAGGAACCGAGAGAGGGAGGCGAGGGAGAGCAGTTCAGAGTCTGGGGCAGAATTGGAAGGACAAACCAAACATCAGTCAAGGTGACGCTTAATACTCTTATTCAAAGTTCCTCCCCTCCATTTGACTGAGTAATCGAAACCCCCGGTAGAACAAGGTGGATTTATTTATCGGGGTCGTATAATAAGTTGCAGCTCCGTCTGTCTGTACTTTTGGGCTCTGTGTGATGCTCGGGAGATGGGTACCAATGCCAATTGGTGATGTTTCCAGTGAGGATGCTTTCTATTGCTCCTTGGGATTTTGGCCCTCTTCAGCTTCCTTAAGAAATACAGTAATTTATTTTACTTTCTTCACCAGCGTGAGAGGACCATGTCCGGTTCATGTTGATTCCCAGCAACCTAAAATCGTTCACCTGCTCCACCTCAGCTCCACTGATGTGGACAGGAGCGTGCGTCTTCCCCTCATTGTTCTTGACATCAACGGTCAGCTCCTTGGTTTTGCTGATGTTGTTCTCTGAGCACCACTCTGCAAGATTAGCAATTTCCTCCTGATATGAAGTCTCATCGTTGAATAATATCCGGCCGATGATGGTGGTGTCGTCTGCAAACCTGCACAAGAGACTTCTCTCCATGTGGGTGGGGGGGATGCGGTCGTGAGTGTACAGCGTGAACAGGAGGGGGCAGAGCACACAGCCCTCCACACTTAATGAACCGTTTTTACTGCTGGTTTGACCCTTTTATCAGCTGGGTGTAAGTGGGCAGGAGAAGCAGAGAAATATGGTCTAATAGATGAAAATGGGGACGGTGGAGCGCTTTTTAGCTGCCAGGAAAGTCTGTGTAAACTCTGCTTGTTGAGTGCATTAGCTTGATCTAGGATGTTGTGGTGCAGCCAGGTCTCAATAAATGAGGGCAGAGAAGTGTCTGATTTCCTGTTGCTGAGTTACCCTGAGTCTCCTTCATTCATTTTATTTTCCCGCGACTGGATATTATCCAGGCTGGAATATGTTCAGTGGACAGTGTTGAAGAAGACTTGAAACAAGCAACTGAGACCATAACCTCATTAGGAAAGTGCTTACTGAGGTAATAAATCAGGTGAGAAGTAGGTTAACTTTGTCCTAGACTTCTTTACAGTCTGACTTTTTTTGCAACCAGTGGAGTCGCCTCCTGCTGGCCGTGAGGAATAACGCAGGTTTAAGGCACCAGCAACAGCATCAACTTTTCAGACCTGGATTCCGGCTTTTAGTGACCCTTTTGGTCGACCTCTTTGGTAGTAAATCTTGATTAGTACGTCGTCGGGAGGAGGATTTTATATTTGATCCAGGACTTAATTGGCACCCCTGGGTCTAACATACAAACGTATGTATGCAAATTTTGTCTTGTAAAGTTGTGTAAGTGGTTGGGTTTATCATGAAATCTTTCTGTCATTGTGGACACAAAAGTTGGTTTCCTCTCATTTTACCATTAATACCCGCTTTTCAAATGTGCCTAACTCAGGTTTTATCTTTGCTTCATAGAAGAGGAACACCAACGGAGACGAATAAAGAGCAAGGTAAGTACCAGTACCCCCATGGAATACTACTCTATCAAAAGTCACAGCAAAATCTACTGAAGTCCTTATTGTGAAGAGTGTGATACGACTTTATTGTTGACATACGGTGTGTTCTCTTAAGGACACTGTTTAATAAACCTTAATAAACCAATTTCCCTAAGACCCCTAAATCATATAATTATCAATACAGGCTCATCTCAGAAAATTAAAATATCGTGGAAAAGTTAATTTTATTTCTGTAATTTTAATTAAAAAAGTGAAACTTTTATATATTCTAGGTTCATTAAATATAGGAGATGTATACATACATATGAGCTGTAAACTGTAATCATCAAGATTAAAACAAAAAAAGACCTAAAATATTTCACTTTATGTGTAACGAATCTAGAATAAATGAAGGTTTCACTTTTTGAATTAAATTAAGGAAATAAATGAACTTTTCCACAATATTCAAATTTTCTGAGATGCACCTGTACACGATCTCAAGAACTATACTCTGTATTTCTGTTGTACGAAACATGCTGTACTGGCACAGAGCTGCTGAACTGTTTGTCCAGGTGAGAATAAGGAGAGCAAGTCCAGATGCCACAAAGGGCGCTCGACAGGAAAGAGGAAGAAGAAGAAGAGAAGGCGGAAAGATGAAGAGAACTCATCAGATTCCGACTCAAAGCAGAGGGATAGTAAATGTGGTCAAAGCTCCTCGCCAAGGCGACGAGAGGAGTTGCCTGATATCATCCCAAAACAGGTAAAAACACCAAAAAAACGATCATCTGCGATTTCTGTAGGGTTTTCTGTAGATGAAATATGAAGGCAAACTTTGTGATACAGGATAATTGAGCTCACACCACCTTATAAATAAAATTGAGTGTCAAAATAAAAAGTTTGATACTTACTGTATCATTTATTTATGTATTAAAATATTCTTAGATTTGTCAGTTAGCTTTCTACTGTTCTGTGCTGCTATTTGGGTCTAACTTTGGTGGAAGGTGACTTTGTGAACAGACTTCTGCCCTCATAATATGATTAATGCAAACAGTATCGTGTACACTGATAAAATTGACATTAATAACATAAAATACTAACGATACATTGTCTTTCCTAACAGGACAGCTCCAATAAAGGAAGAGATGAGGAAAGACACGGCAGCAGGAGTTGTCGTTCCCGGTCACGGTCGCGTTCCTATTCTCACTCACATTCCTGCTCTGTGAGGAGGAACTCTCACTCTCGTTCTAGACACCACCGCCGAAGATCTAGGACTCGCTCCCTATCCAGTTCACACCGCCACAGGACCCGGTCCAGGTATGAAGGAAAATCTTCAACTGAATGTTTGATTTATGGGAGAAGTGTAAAACAGTAAGGGGATAGTTCAGGATATTTCTAGTGGGGCTGAATGAGGTATGTATTAACTGACGGCAGTCCACGCACCCCCGGTTTGGAGAGGCAGATAGTTGTACCGGCAATGTACTGCTGTGGAGAGGGTCAGCGTTAAAACTTACTTTAGCCACCTAAAAGAAGGCCCACCGATAAAATTCATTTGAAGTGTACGCTATATTTTGAAGATTTTTAGCACTTTACCATGACAGCCATTTCCTCAGGAAATACATTTAGTCAACTTCTGTATACCTATGCCAAGCACGACTTGTTCGCATTCTGGATAACGCCGTGGGAAATCAGCTGTCGGTGGGCCTTTTTTACTTGGCTAAAATATGTTTTGCTGCTGACCCTGCCCACAGCAGTATATTGCTTCTTCTTTTAGGTGGCTAAAAGACCTTTTGCTGCTGACCCCGCCCATAGCAGTGCATTACTTGGTTTCCGTGCCAGTACAACTCTCTGTTTGTCCAAACAAGGGCCACGCTGACCGCCATCTACTGCAGGTGATATAAACAACTCATAAAACACACAAAACTCTACCACAGTTATGATCCCAATTTGCAGGGAAAGTACGATTAAAGTTTTTTATGTGTACGGTGACGTTACCTTCAGCATCATTGTCCAGTTCATGTGACATTAAGGTGGACAGAGATTTGCTGCCAGGGAATGTGCTCATTTTTCTTCTCCACACGGTGCTAATGTTGGTCTTAACATGTTCAATTTTGATATTGTTTTATCCTGCCATGATCTGGTTGATGTGGCTGCTGGTAGGTCCTGCGAGAAGAGGGGAACTTTAGATGAATCCATAGAGTCCACCCAAGGTCCTTCAAAAGGCGCCCAGGCCCCTCATCTGGCCTCCAGCCCTACCAGAAACACAGTAGCCGTGGAGCTGACAGAGTCAAGCACCGGGCTGCAGAACCCTAAAGAAAGTGAAAAGCCAGCAGAGGAGAAAGCAGAGGACACAGCACAAAAACTAGGTAGGACCTGTTTGATGACGTTGTATTTATACTGTTTATTGTGTCCAGTGCTGATTTCAAATTCGTTTATTGACCTGAAAGAAGCCTTACAAAGAGAGAACACAACGAAAGTGTGGACAGCTGAGGGGATTGAAACGAATTAAGAATTGAATATTGCCCTGTGCTTAGTCCTTGCACTCACATGTCTTACTCTTTTTGACTATTCCTAGCCATGTTAATGATTTTATCTTTGTCCAGGCATATGGAAGAAATAGGACCAATATGTCTCAACAGTGTTTTGTCGCCTTTCTATTAACTAAGATGCGATATGGTTTTATTGTTTATAAAAAGTGTCATGCAAGTAAAATCAGTTTTTCTAACTAACTTTGAACCTTTAACCATTACAGTTCACACAGACAAACCTTTAAAATAGGTCAATTTAGTTTTTCAAGATGTGTCCAACTAATGTTTTTTGTTGTCTAATTGTAATGCTCCAGGTTCTGGCGCATCCCTGTCCACACTGAACTCCATATCTACTGAACCAGACCAGACCACTGAGTCCAGCTTCCCTCAGCTTAAAGCATCGGAACATCCCAGGTCCTCTGCATCTCATGTGAAATCACCAGCAAGGAAGAAGAGGAAACCCTCCAAGTCCCCACAGAGGAAAAAAGACGCAAAGTCATCAACGAGGCAGAAAAGATCCATGTCGCCATGTAGGAGCCACAGGCGGGGCTCCAGATCCAGATCCAGGAGCCCTTCAAAGAACAAGAGATCACGGTCGAGGTAGAGTAACTGGGTTTTTTCTTTATTAGCATCTCCTTTATCTTGTTGGTGTTTTAACTAAATGGTTAGTGGTACCAATAATGTTATTTTGAATATATGGTTTCATAAATTATTTCCAGGAATTTATTCTTTTTTTTTTTGCCATATACTCCTTTAATAAATTATCAGGTATAGCTCAATAACAAAATAAAATAAATAAACAAAAGGCTTCACACAAATACACACACACACATACTGTGTTTTTGGACAAAACAATGGACAACAAGATGTGAAATAGGGGCAGTGCAGAACTGGTGATCGCAGGAATATTATATCTGGCCATTGGAGGGGACTTCATGTACAGAAATGGTCGATCATATGAATCATTACAAATGAATTGATCTACATGTTGTCTGTGCAGGTCAGGGGGCCGGAGGTCGCGGAGGTCACGCTCACGGTCGGTGTCACGGGGTCGGAGGAGGGCTACATACAGCCAGAGGGACCGCTGGAAACGAGAGCCAAGTCACTCCCCTGTACTCATCCTCCGCAAAAATAGAACCCCGACCCGGAAAAACTGCAGTTCGGGAAAGAGCCCTCAACGCATTAGTGAACTGGGTCAGTTAATATGCAATCGCTCATTTGAACGTTATACACCAACTGTTGTGCTGTTTGTTCTGTTTCTTTCATTTGCATTTTGGCATCATTGTTTGTACAGAGAGTTTAGGTGTCATGAAAGTCAATCACATATTTCTTACTACATTTCAATGTCCACAAACGACTGAAGATGTGACGTGAAGAGCTACTTGTTTCAGATTTTAGTTTGCTTTGCTCTTGACATCACAGCTCTGCCAATTCATAGCATTTGGTACTTTTTAGCCACTCTGGCTTGGTGAGGAGGGTGATATCTTGTGATTATCCACACCCTATGTGTACATTTTCAGATTTTTGTTAAAAACCTGAAGTAAAATCTGACGTATCTTTGTAGCTGCCATTGCAGTTTTGATTTAGAAATAGCTTTTTTATGTAGTTGGTCTCTTGTCTAGTCGTCTGTGTATGTAGCAACTGCTCTGCCCTCCAAAAACAATATACTCTAGGATAATTAATTTGGTACAGTCACAGTGTAAGGAAGACATTCTGTAAACGGGATAGCACCAACACATTTCATTCATTGACTCCTTTATTGTGTTTGTGTTTCCTCAGATAAGGATCAGTTGTTGGAAATAGCCAAGGCCAATGCTGCTGCCATGTGTGCCAAAGCAGGAATGCCCATCCCTGCCAGCCTGAGGTCCACAATGCTTCCTCTGGCTCTGCCAAGTATGGCCATGAATGCTGCTATGGCCAGTATGACTGCTGGTATGTTTTTGACTCTTGTTTCCTGTTTACATTATGTTTTTTCTGAAATGATCAGTCAACCTTGTTGTCCATCTCAATTTAACAAAGATCTTTTTACTGTAATTTAACCTTCTTGACGGTTAAGATTTGTTGAAACGGTCTCAGAGAGGTGTTGGGTCATTTTGGAGGGGTTAGGTCGAGCTGCTGTTTAATTGTATTCTGTCATATTGAGATGTGTATTTAATATTATTTAATATATACAGTATATTACATATGTCAAAATAGGTAATAAGTCGGTCAGCTTCTGAGACTTTAATCTAACTTTCTCTGTGTCTCTTCCTCATAGCCACCATGACAGCAGCCTTGTCCAACATGGGCACCCTGTCCTCACTGCTCCCACTGCCCTCCATTACCAACAAGCCACCTCCAGCCCCTGCTCAATCCAACATAGCTGCATTGGAGGAAGTGAAGAGGAAAGTAGCGAAGCAGGCCAACAGCATCAGCATTAAGGAGTTTACTGATGTAAGGGTATTATACATGTGAACTACGTTACAGGAGGTTCACTGCACACAGAAAAAATCAGTTAACTGTGTAGTGGTAATACATGTAAATATATATTTCTACATCTCATCTGTAAGTGATGTGTTTTTCAAGGCTTAGAGGCCTTTAAGTTTCTGAAAATCTACCTGTGATGTGAATTGTAATATGACAATTTATACATAGAGATTGTAGGGATTTGTCAACAGGTAGAGTGGAGTTTAAGAAGGTTGTTGAGGTGGGAGGGGCCCTGGTTATATGTGAGAGGATGTACTGGGGTTTGTCGAAAACTTTGATGTAGTCTCAGCAGCAGAAAGGGAGAGGGATTGGCTTAGTTCAGCTTTTGTCTTTTCAAGTAGTTTGTATAGTATAGAGCTTGTAAATGCCAAAAAATGCCCTTAAATTGCACAGTAAATTCAAGGTGGCTGACTTCCTGATGAGTGTAAGGTACGGCTTCAAGAGGCTTTTTCTTGAGGAATAGGCATGATACATGTGCCTCCCAAATTTGGTACATCCAGGTGAAACAGAAAGGTGGGAGCTTTTGTTTTGAAAATCTGTAAGGTGCGCTTTCGAGCCATTTTTCCACACCCGTGCAGGAGACCTACATCAGGCAGCAAGTTCCACCATGACTCAAGCGTCACAATCACCGATTGAATTTGAAGACCGAAAATAAAGAATAATAAGAAGCGATTTTAATGGGGACCTCACATCGGTCGCTGGTTGGGCCGTAAGGATTGTACCAAGTTTATTTCATTGCGTTACTTTTCCTCTTCTGTGTACATGTCTGGGCTTGAAACTGGATTGTGTATGAATTGAAATCTTAATGCTCTGGATTTGATTAGGTAAAAGAGCAATTCCTCACTAAATCTTGTGAAGGCACTGTAGGTTGAGGTTGTGGTAAAACAGTGTTGCGTAAAGACAGTGCTGAATTTGCTGTGTGTGTGTGTGTGTGTTTGTAGAAATGCAAGATGATTGTGGACAGTAAAGGAGAGCTTCCGGTTGCAATGCCTCATGTTTCGGACGAAGAGGATGATGGGAAACCCTTTGGAGGATCAGCTCTTCGAGAGCAAAAAGCCATCAGCTTCAGCATCAACGTAACATTCACACACGGGCTCCACTCCCTCTTACATGAGTTTACATATTACTGTGAATGACAGTTTGCTCTCTTGGGAATGTGTGGTAAACCCTACGTAGAACACAGTTTTGGGGTATATTATAGCTCAGAAATAAAAAAAAAAAGTCGCAAAATAATACCCCATCTTTACGTTACTGCTCCCTTATTGTTGACAGAATGTAACTCAACCTTATAAAACCCTTTGAATATTAACTTGATCATAGTAATGCATTTATTTCAACTTGTTTGTGGTCAGCTATGATTTCCTGCAGAGTAATGCAGCATAATTTAGTTCCTCTGTTTGAGGTGTCTTCACGTATGATTTTAACGCACACCTGCCAGCCAGACAGTCCATTCTTCTTCTGTGTTAAGTGGGTGAATACTTTATTGATTGAATTGCACGACCAAAAATAATCACCACTCTGCTGCCTTTTTCCCCCCAGAACGCGACAGTCCGTCCATCAGTGCGTAGTGACGCAGGCATGGCGAAGGAGTTTCCTGTCTCTTCAGGATGCCAACATCGTAAGAAGGTTTGAACAAGATGTGCATTACATTTGGATCTTGTAACTTTGTTTAGAAGCTTTAAAATCGACAAGGTACTTCACAGTGGAAGAAGTTGAACTGCAGTAAATCACCAACCATATTGGCCACAGTTAACTCAGCGTTTTCCTGCTGTAGATCTGAGGCAGGTATTTACACGGCAGTACAATATGTGTACTAGACACTAGTAACTAGTAAGGTAACCAAACGCTTGTATAAGGTAAGTCTTAAGTCAACTATTCTCCAGTTCAGGTAAAGGGTTGACACACAGCCTTTTAAATAAATTAAATTTAAATGTGTCACAGCAATTATTCCAGTGCAGTATTTTTATTAATATCATTACAGGGCAGTGCAGTGCAAATTAGACACTTTTAACACCCTGCTATTTTCTTTTTTTCTAAAAATTTTTTGTCTCTTTTTAACAAGATGATTGACTAAAATACTGAAATATTAATGAGACAAGGTTTTGATAAATGATTTTTAAAACTAAATTGTTATATTAATCAATTATTAGACATTGCTTTGTCATTATTTGGCAAATAAGATGTTAGAGTAATTGAATTATTGACTGATCAAAAACTTTATTAGATTAATTGATTAAAAATAAATATAAAATATAATAAAATTAAAGTAGAGAAGAAAGTGAAAGGCACTGAAGTACCAATGAGGGTGCAATTCATATAGCAAGTGAAGGAGTGGGGAACCAAATACTATTTTACTAATTTTATATTAAATTTTCATGCTCTTATCTTTTTTTTGTATTATTCTTTACACTTGTTAAAGCACTTTGTAACTTGTTTTTGAAAAGTGCTCTACAAATAAGGATTATTTGTTCCAAATTACAAGAAATGAATTAACCATTCACGAAGGTGCATCTGTGTTGCTGTTACGAGAGCTACAAATTATAAATTTCAAAGTGATTCTGTCCTCGCTAAAAGTTGTTGCAGGCAAAGTATTTTTCAGCTAGCTGATCATTATATTCTCCAGTATTGCATTCTCCGAGGAACAGACAAGTGTTTGTGTTTGGCTGAGATAAATATTTCGACTGCGAAAAAAGAACACAAAAATACAAACTTGAATGTAAATACCTTTGTATGTTTCTTAGCTTTGTAAATACTAAATCAAATCTCTGCATAATTAGAGAAAAGATTACTGACATAAACCAATGTGAACAGGCGCTTAAATGTACTTTTCCTCTACTAGGTGGTAATAAATAACATACAAAAAGGTCACAGAACAATTTGAAAGTGTTTTGTGAGTAATGTAATGTGTCATACTGTCCAGGAGGGCGAGGCACTGGGCGCCTACGGAGAATGGGTTCCGGTTGACAAAACCGCAGACAAAGCTGCAGCTGCCTCCAGAAAGACACTGACCGCCGTTCCCACAGAGACTGCCGCCTCATCATCAGGTGAAACGGCGATAGCAGCTGGATTACCAGAGGACGTCGAACAGCCAGATAATGACAGTGTTTTTCCTGACCCAGTACTGCAGGTGAGAAGTGGAATTATAATGTGTATCTGGTGTACTATATAGATGTACTGTGGGTATTCAATTAAGTTGTCATAGCCGCATTTCCACCAAACGTACCTAGAACTTTTAGTCCCAGGAACTACTTCCCAAGGAACTGAAAGGTTCCTTCAGTCCACTGTCGTATGTGTTTCCCCTGCGGTCTAAAGACCTGCGAAGATTATGCAATTTAGTCCGCTGACACTGTAACAGCACAGTAACCATGGAGGAGATTCAGGTTGTGCTGCCTCTGATCATGATTTATTGGTTTGCAAATGTGGTCACTGAGTCAATGGTGGATTCAAAATGCCTGAAATGCTAGACTTAAAGCGAGTAGTCTTCAAATTTTCAGCAGCCCCACCCCCCAAAGTTCCACTACTTTTGGAAAGTACTATCCCCCGAGCAGGCAGCTCTTTGGGGGGTAAAATAAAGTCCCCGGAACTTAATTTAGACCCTGGTCCTCCAAAGGTTCCTAGTTCCTGGCTAAAGTTCCTGCAGTGGAAACACAGCTTATGATTAAAAATCATGAATGTGAAAATGATTTATTAAACTCAGGGCTCCAAACTTAGCTCAGTTAAAGATGTAATATTCACCGGTGAATCTGTCAGTACACAGATAATGTGGAACAAAAATGCTGATGCACTGTGGATGTGAAAGGCTCTTTTTGATGCATGTGTATTGTGGAATAGACAAAACAAATGTCAGGATACGTCACTCTAAAAAACGCAATGAACAAATAAATGTAGAGCGATTTGTATCTGTAATGCTGGATCTGTAACTGTGCCAGAGTGATTTGTAGCTCACGCATTTGTGGATTTCTTGTGAAACATGATAGGAAAGTCTCCACACAAATAGGTGGAAGATTCACAAATATATTTCCATTTAATAAATGCTAAGTTACAAATGATACACGAATTGTTATATAGGAGCATTGACATTTACAGATACTAATCACTACATTTATTTGTGCTTAGATTTTTACAATCTTGACGTGATCTTGATCTGTTTGTGAATACTTATGAGACTGTTCTAATTCCATAGAGGACATGAATTTGAACCTGAAAATTATTCTGTGCTGTGGGAGCAATTACATTTTGATGGACTTCCAAGGTTATAACCAAATTGTTGGTTGTGACGGATCCAAATCATCGCTGATGTTCTCTCCCTCTTTCCCTCCCCTCAATACCATTTCTCTTGTCACCCCTGATCTCTCTCTCTCTCTCTCTCTCTCTCTCTCTCTCTCTCTCTGCAGCCAGTAGATATCTCTCAGGCTGTAACTGAGAGAATCAAAGCTCAGAGGCGATTGGCTGAGAACCCCTATGATGTCAGCGCCATCTGTATGCTCAGCCGGGCCCAGGAGCAGGTATAATACACACATTTTAAGGACATACACTCAGAAAAACTAAATAATATAAAGATAATGATCGAACTGCACCATTCAATTGATTTAAATGTCTTGGCACCTCTGTCATCTTCTTTTTAAAGATTTTGGCATTATACATGTGCCACAGAAATGTCATACATGTAGGTGAAACGTGACACAGGGGCTGCTTCGTCAACTTCGCCAACATGCCACCGCCACGCCGTTAACTGAAAACTCACAAGTTTTACATCACGGCCCCCAAAATTGAGGTTACTTTGCAGAAAAAAGCCCTTAGCCCTCGTGCTCGGGCCCTAATAATCCATGTTTATGTAGCAATACGATGGCAAGTAATTGTTTTTGCATGTAAAACAGTCAAATCTATCAGTATTAACAAAATAATTAGTACAACATGCAAAATAGACTGGATTTTAAAATATTAATTTCTAAATCTACTTTTTTCTTTTAATGTATGGCACTACAGGTGGTATTGTACTACAGATTGCTGTTGTATGGATCATTGTGGTGGCAAATAAAAATGGACCCTATTGCACACGGAAAACAAGATGAGCAAAGTTCTTCACAATGTAAAACACCAACATCGTTCCTATGACAAAAACTGTCCACAGGATTCCCAAACCGTCGGTGCATAGTGACGGGGACAGTCCTGTGTTGCCTCTAACACATCCCCCCCTGCACTCAAGCCTGGCCACGAGGTTACCAAAAGTGCGCTTAGCACCGTCGCCCCTGACACACTGGACATTTCCCACCCACATACTGGTTGCATTTCAACACATCCTCACTTTCATTACTTACATATATAATAATTAATAACAAATGTAATGTTTAGAGGTATTATTTTGTATACAAACAGGAAAGGAATTAGTTAAAAATGTCACCTATGGGGAGCTAAATTTGACAGAATAAGAGACACTGTTTTGTTTTTGTTTAGATGAGGTCAGATAGTAAATGTATTTTGTGTGGAGGTTGATGGATCTCATTAGTGTTCTGTTAAACTGTGATGAGGTTCATGATGTCAATAACAAACAGCTACTTATTTTTAAATAGCTCTCGTTACTTCAATCATCTGGAGGGAGTAAAGGATGTTTACCTATTAATGTGGTCTGTTGAGCACTCTCTATTTAATTGGATGCTCAGCACTGCATTGCTGAATGTTTCCAGACTGTTTCCTTTTAGATCTGATGCATTCACTGACTGTCTGATCTAATCGACATGTCCATTTTTGATAGGTGGATGCTTGGGCCCAGTCCAACACTGTTCCTGGTCTTTTCACTGGTACGACTGGAGCCCAGATCCTCAGCTCGGAGGAGCTGTCCACAGGTGGACCACAAGCGTGGCTGAAGAAGGTAAGACAGACACGAAAACAACATACACAAACAAGCAGATGTTGCAAAAAAATAGCATATACTGTAAATAAACAGACTTTTGACGTATTGAGGTTTCTGTGTTGCTCAGGCCTGCTGGTCAACACTAAGAGGTACAAGCTTTGTGAATTGCAACAACATGCTAAATTACCCACAGCTTTGTCACTGCGCCTAAACAATTTCAGCAAAGTAGGTATTCGGAAGTGTGAAAATACAAGTTAACTCTTTCTGTTACCAAATACTTTTAGTAAGAAACCATACGTGGTCTTCAGCAATTGCTACACTGTCTTTAAGTAGCGTTATTCCCCATTTTCTGTCTCAAAAATTTCCTACGCACTGCAGTCACCGCTTACTCCACTACAGAGCAGTTCCCCTTCAATGCCCTGTAGCCTATGGCTAAGTCTTGAGCAGGATTTGAGGAGGATATCTGTTTACTCTCAAGGGCAGATTCACAGCATCAACACTTGTCACCAGCTGAATATGGATTTAAGTGGGCCTTGCGGGAACCATTATTACCTAGACATTAATAACATTGTCACGCTTGGAGTAGACAAGATAAGTACCTGTCTGTATGAAATTTAGGTATCTTAATTTTCTCTCCCCCTTCCCAGGATACATGTTTTCTTGAAATAGTTTGCATTTATATGTGTGGGCACTATGGTTGTTTATCGTTTTTAAATGTTTGAAATTTTACGATACCAGTTCCAAAACCAGTATCCTTAAAGTGATACCGATACTAATAGAGAACTTCATTCGATACCGTGCATAAAATGCCTCGTGTTGAAGCCATAGTAGTTGATTGGTAGCCTATTATTATTTGTATTGTTGTAATGGACAAGCAAGGTAATCTATTTTATTTTTTTCTTCTTTCAAATAACTATTACATAAAAGTATTGGGAAATTGTATCAGATCCTCATCCTGATTAGTTCATCCTCACAGGTATTATCATACAGGGAAAGACAGCTTTTTTTTTTAAATATATTTGAATGAGAGAGGAGGAGTGAAACAGTTAAGTAACCAAATAATTTGTGGGAATCAAATTTAAGGTAATTTTTTGATACGTATGTTGACAGTTAACAAACGGAAAATTATTTGAACTTTCGATCAATAAACTGAACTGAAAGATCTCCGCAACCTCCTCTAAAAACAGTCACAAGTATAGGATGAGTAAAGAGTCTATTTAAGCAAGTCACTTAACTGCACTAAAGGAAAAGAGAGTGCTGCACGTCCAGGCAATCAAACCAACTGCACCTGAAGCAGCTGCAGCTGCAGCCGGAGGCTACATGAGTATAATCAGCTCATCTGACAGCGTTTGATTGATGTGATGGAACGCAGCGGTCGATCAAAGACAAGGGATGTGAATAGCAAATAAAAATGTACAGAGAAGTGTTAAATGTGTTTGCTGCAAGCAAAACTATGCAAACGCTAATTTTTTGCTGCCATCTGGTTACAAAAAGTATCGACTGAAGTACTGGTTTGACTGGAGACGTTTCGATTCTACTCGATGCCGGGCTGTTTCAGTCGATACCATGGTATCCAGTAGCAATATCCATCCCTAGTGGGCACACACACAAAGGCAGTGATAGATAGATCAACACAGTCTTGTGTGGTCCAGGATTTGTCTGATCTGTTTAAATTTGGTCTGATATTTTGGATTGTGGTGTGAGGTGGGAGTTTCTCTTTGTATTAGGGTGAGGATTTCCTTATTTCCTTTCAACATCATATTTGTCACCCCCCTACTGCTAATGTTTTTCTTGTCTTCCCTCTGTCTCACTGTGTCTGTGGTCCTGGTTAGGACCAGTTCCTCAGGGCAGCTCCAGTATCTGGGGGTGTTGGGGAGTTCCTGATGAGAAAGATGGGCTGGAAGACCGGAGAGGGTCTTGGGAGGAACCGCGAGGGTACCGTGGAGCCAATCATTATCGACTTCAAGGTCGACCGCAAAGGTCTGAAGCCGCTGAATACTCACTTCTTCTTAATTAAGTTTCCCTTAGTGAAATAATTTCCTCACTGAGGTGAGGCTGCAACTACAGCAAATACTGCCTCACAGTTCTACCCTCAGTATCACACTGCTCATTGCACAAATCCCATCAACCATCAACCCATTCTGATTGACACTTCACTTTAGGGAGATGGTGTTAGATTGATGATGATGGCAACAATGTTAAAGTAGTGATGAGGATTTCTATGTGTTTCAGGACTAGTTGCTGAAGGAGAGAAGCCACAGAAGCAGACAGGAGGACTGGTGGTGACCAAGGATCTAATGGGTAACGGATACACGGCAAACATTGTCTCGACATATACAGTGAAAATAGTCTGAATCCATAACGTCTACTCATACAAAAGCAATTGTATCCTGAATGTAATGTCCATATCGTCACACACAGGACTGTGCTTATTACAATCCTGCGACAGCCACAAATACCGGATTCATTTCAAATTGCCTGCCTCCGCTTTGATGTTAATGACATGTATCAATATTCGATGAATCAATTCGACTAGATTATCCCCGGCAGTGTGGGATGTTTGTGTGCCCCTTCATCTCATTCTCCCCTTTTATCTGTGTGCAGGGAAGCACCCGGTGTCTGCTCTCATTGAGTTGTGTAACAAGAGACGGATAATGCAGCCGGATTTTGTCATGGTTCATCACAGCGGTCCCGACCACCGCAAGAATTTCCTCTTCAAGGTGAGTGTGATGCTGCTGCTCAAAAGTCCATTTGATCAGATCACTGTTCTCATTCACATGCTGTTTTTATTCATTGTGTCCTCTGATGGTTAAATTCTGACATCTGATCGTCTGATCCAGGTCACAGTGAACGGAGTGGACTACCAACCCCAGACAGCCAGTCCCAATAAGAAGCATGCCAAGGCCATGGCAGCTACAGTTGCCCTACAGGCTCTAGGAGAGGTAATATATATTGATCATCACCTGCTATTAGCATGAGACACCGTAAATCTGAATAAAGTACCAGCAGTTGAGTTGCATGACCAGATTTTTTTCTGCACAGTTAATGCAGCTTTACGAAACACTGAATTTCTGTGCCGACCATTTAAAATCCTTTTTTAAAAATGTGTTTAGTCATAAAATACCGTTTATAATAAAATGTGTTTTATTTTGTTCCTAGGTTCCTGTTGATGGACCAGGACTCTACACTGGCCCTGTCTTCACTGCTGCTTCTACTGGCCCCCTTTTCTCTACATAGACTTACACACAACAGTATTATATTCTACATCGTTCATTTGTGGGACACTGACAGAAAAAGTCATTGAATAAGCGGTCTGCCGATGCCACTCTGGTGGCTTATTTATATACTAAGAAATTAATAATATGCTAGACACATGACAGTGAGAATCATGAAGACAAGTCTGGCTTGAAATCACACATCTTTGTATTGAAGCATTTGTGATTGATTTTATACCCACAAAAGTACACTTTTTTTTTTCTTTTCAAGTCAAAATGTTCATCATAGGGTTGTAAATATATGTTTGCCAGGTCGTTAGGATTGGGAAAGGGTCTCCATCATATTAAAAGTGGATGGTATGTATGATAATAGTAGCATTTCAGCCTGCTATGTATTAGCTGACCAACACTTAAGCCTAGACCAGAAAACGAACACTTAAGCCTAGACCAGAAAACGATTTCCTCTGCTATGGATTTGTTGTTTGTAAGAGCTGTAAATCTGTAAATGACTGTCTCTTGTTGGTTAGCAACCTTTCTGTTGGTCCTGACATTACATTTGTGGCCTGGTCTCCTCCTAACAAAATGTTTCTCAAAACTAAAAGCTTTTAAACTTTATGAAAAGAAACCTTCTAAACTGTGTAAACAAATAAAGTTATATTTATGTTATGTAGTAGAGGAAGCCACATTATGTTTCTTTGTAACAATGCCTGTTGAATGTGATTCAAGACATTCATGAGATTGGGAGGGTGCGACCTCCACTGGGAAGTGGGGGTTTCCCCTACCTCCCTGCCCTCAGCACACAATGCGATGACAACACCTCTCGCCATCTTCCCATCTGCAAACACTGCCAGGGGCACTACTGTTGAACACTAAAGCCGGGTATCTGCTGTTCCCCTGCTGACTACTTGTCTAAAGGCCTAATTTACTCTTCTGTGTTGATGACAGATCTGATAAATTCCCACACGTTTGTACCTCTGGGGAGCGACGAAAGAGTTTGACCTTGATTTTTCAGTATGTTTGTGAAAAAGGCTCGTATATCTCTGTGCCACAGAGATTCACCGTCTTTTTATCCAAAAACCTCCAGGGTCGTTGGAGGCCAAGACTGTACGACCGCTGATGACATTGTCACGAGGCCAAATGTGAGCGTTTCAGATATTTATTCACAGATCAAACAAACATTTAATAAAAGTCAAATGGATGTCTTTATTTTATTTTAATAAAGCAGATCAATAAAATATATAACACTGACAGAAAAGGGTTAAACACCAGCTATTCCTGTTGTTTTGCGTTGCTAAAATAATGCTAATTCCAGTTTCAAACAAGTCTGACATCACCCAAAAACCCCTTCTACCAATTTAGTACAGTCTGGGTTCCCCCTTGTATAAATCAGATTGGATTCCTCCACTTCCTGTTTGACAGTCTTACCTGGATGTCTCAAGGATGGGAGCACATGCTACAAACAATTAAGTAAGATTTAATCTGCACATAGGAGTCATTTACACTGGGAACGCTGTGGGCATGTCCCCACCACAATTCATGACACAGTTTTACAAAGATGGTCATGTGATTGTGGATTTAAGATGTCAGTCGCAAAGCAAAGACTGTTATGTGCACAATGATTAACAACAGTAGTCTAAAACATTTAAAACTTGTTTCAGCCTGTTTAATAATTTAAATAATAAATAATTTAGTGATGATGTATTTATAGTTTATGAGCATGTAACGGACTTTAATATCACATAACAAAACTTGCCTTTACTAAGATTAATTGCCTCTGTCCTTTGTTGGAGTATCTCTAAATACGGTGATGGTTTCTGCCCTGACGGTTCATTTACACCTTCTGATGGTGAGATACAAAGATGCAAAGAGTTATCTAAAGTTGATGATCAAACCCAAGAAATGGGAAGTTGGTGGTTAGTTTTGGTTCCTCGTTTAGCAGAAAAACTTGTTAAAAAGCACCTGTAAAAAGTCAGCTGAAACCCTCTCATGTGCGATATCAATATATTTCATGTTCTTATTCTACAGATTTCCTTCTACAATCCCGCAGCAGCCTTTCCCTCAGACCATGTGAGTAAAGTTACAAATGTTGACTTGTTCCATATGGGTCCCACATGCTCACACTAAATTAATTAATTTAATTAAATACAGTTGTTGCTACTTTTTGAGCAGAGCAGAGAACCTTTACACTGTGATTTTGCTACTTTTGCAAAAGTTCTGAGTACTTCTTCCAGATCATTTACATTTAAACACACTGTGTTGCTTTGTTTGACACTTATTCCTGCAAAAATCAGATGTTTTCATGATGTTCAATGTTTTATTGTTTACAGTCTTTAGCTTGTATTTATTGTTGCTTCTTTTTTAAACATCTTGCAAATAAAAGCTTTTCACATCATGAATGTGCTTGATCACGTTCTTCTTCTTCTTCTTCTTCTTCTTCTGCTGCTGTTGGGACATGCATCTTCCAGTAAAAGTTCAGGCAGTCTTTGTTTTCTGTTCCATAACCCCCTGCTTCTATCTCTCCGAAACACCGGGAGGGGACACAGCCCCCTCCCTCTCCCGCAGGATTCAGCTTCAGGTACCGACGACGGGCAGGATTCGAACCACCGCTGCACCATTGGTGCCTTGCAGTCGCCATCGAACCCCACCGCGCCACCAAGTCCCCTTTGCAGTTGAACTTTTTCTCCGGGCGCTTTTATCTTCTCACTTTAGGTGTTAGACTTCAAAATTTACTGACACTCATAAGGATCAAACCCACAACCTCAGAGCTTCTGACCAGTCTTCTAACACACTGAGCTATTTGATCTGAGACACCTAGCATCTCTTTCTTAGAGCTTTTCACTTCTTTATTTAGACACCCAACTTCAAAAGTCATTGATAAGAATGAGTATTGAACCCACATCCTCAGAACACCTTATTAGGTAGCTAACACCCTGAGCTATTTGATCTGACATACCTCACAGCTCTTTCTTAGAGCTTTTCACTTCTTCTTTTTGGACATCTGAGTCTAAAAGTCATTGATAAGGGAGAGGATCGAACCCACATCCACAAAACACCCTGAGGTACTGGGTCAGGCACACTGAGCTTAACATTATATAAGCTTTCGGTTTCTCTGGGTGTTGGACCTTAAAAATTTATACAAGGATTGAACCCACAACCTCAGAACTTCTGAACAGGCTTCTAACATATTGAGCTATTTGATTGCAGACACTCTGCCTCTCTTTCTTAGAGATTTTCACTTCTTTCTTTTGAACTTATTGTAAGAGTGAGATTTGAACCTGGAGCCTCAAAACACCTGAAGAGGAATCTAACACGTCGAGTCACTGGGTCAGATACTGTGAATTCATAATTTTGTAAGGTTTTCATGTCAATCCTCTGGGATTTGGACCTAAAACTTAATTAGGTCATCCAAGGATTGAACCCACAGCCTCTGAACTTCTGACCAGTCTTGTAAAACTCTGCCTGAGCTCTTCTGAGACCAAGGTTTGACCACACTCACTATGTTTAAAGCTCTTCAGGCTTTCTGGATCAAGATTACCCAGGGATCAAACCTACAACCTACTACTTTGAGGAGTAACTGAGCAAGAGGCAATGATGGCTTCATTTTTAAAGCTTTTGGTGGTTGGACAGCCCAGGGGTTACACATCACTGTTTTAGGGGCCACAAGGTTAGAGGCTCACAACTGCAATAGAATACCAACATACAACATACTACAAAAATATTACTACAATAGTAGTATTATATCCACATCCACACTTGTGCTGCAGAGTAGCTTATTGGCGACTTTCTGTAGGAACTGACTTACTTCATTTGTTGGTTTGGACACTTTAAATTGCAAACAGTCATGTTGTTGCTTGGTTTATTATCATCCAGGTAACTGACAATAATGGTTAGCACATACAAGCTGAACCAGAGCAGCCTGTAGGGGGACAGTTTTAAGCTCTCCTGGTGTCTTTAAAATCAGTTTATTTAAAAAAAAAGCTCAGACTGAGTGCTACAGGAAATGCAAAGATGTTAAAACATATCTGAATCATAAAATCAACCTTTTAGGGAGGTCCACACAGAAACACAGGTTTGGTGCAGACCTTTAAACATGTTTTCATTAGTTTGGTGACACAAAGAAGCTGAGTGATAAATGAGCTGCCTTTTCTGATCATGGGTTTAAATGTATATTTGTATTTAATAATTTTGAGTTCATCATATGGTTCTAATGATTTACTAATTAAAGTTATGACGTATTATTTTGCTTTCATCTGTTCTTTTTTGTTTGGGAATTACGTTGTCGTTAAAATGCAAGACAGCCAATTAAAAATCTTAGAGGCCTCAGAGAAGGTTTTCATTTTTCATGGGTTTAAATATGTATTATACCAGACTGGAGTTCACTTCATCATGAGCAAAATAAATACATTTTTGTTGTAAAGAAACATCCTCAGGTGTCTTTCAAACATCAGCGACCCAGCTGGCGTTGATCAAGCCACAGCTTGTGCCCTGCAGCAGTCTCCCACGGATCCGCTCTCTTAATCCAGAGCCACCTGGACGCTTTCTCTGCAGTCGCTGTGCTGTTGAAGATGGCGCTCCTTCTCTTCTCGCCTGCGATGCCAAGTGCAGAGTTAGCCCTAACCTCCACATGTAAGCACCTTGCCTTCCAGCTTTGTCTGCAGCCGCCCTCTTATTTATTTACTTACTTACTTCCTCCGCTCAAAGGCCTCCTCCATCCCCTCTTCCCATGGCACGGTGAGCTCCAGCAGGAAACTTGAGTTGCCTGCGCATGTCCACTGTCAATTGCCAGTCCTGATCAGTGTTGGACAAGTCCTGATGTTGTACAGGGTGGTAATAGTTAATTCTAATCCTGCAAGAACAGATAAATGCTTAAGACATAAATCATGTATTTAAATTAAGCACTTTCCAACCCAAAATCAGCACAGAAAATAAAGTTTAATATGGTAAAAGCAGGTAATATGAGTAAATATGAATAAAAAGTCAGTAAATAAGTCTGCACTGATTTATGAATGAAAGTGGGTAATTCTTACAGTATCTTCTGTCCACAGCTGCTTTATAATGCATGAAAAGCTTCTCCTTCGGTTCATGAAATCCCTGCAGCATCTGAAGGCAGCAGGACAGATATGTTGATAAATCGGTAGCATCTCAGAAGTGCCTTGGGACACAGTAAAAGGATAACCATGTGATTTTGTTCCAGGCAACACTTGTTTAAAACTAAACCTTAAACTGCAGCTACAGAGCAACAACCCCCATCGTTTCTGGCTTGTATCTTTTGTCATCTATCTGTGCCAGTAGTTTTTAGTATAGAAGGCTGAGTGGGTTTGGGAATTAGGCTCTCTATGGACATCAGTGTGAGGCGGGGAGAGAGAGAAAGAGAGAGAGTGGGAGCAGTATAATGTCCACTCTACATTTGCATCACTGAGGTTGAAGAAGAATTTAATAGGACAACGTCAAAACATAGATAATGGTGAGTATGTCTTCCTATTATGACAGATTAAAGTCTTTGTCTAAGAAACTCTGGTGGGATAACTAATTACAACAATCACTGGTATATTCTTCCAAAGATGTAACATTGGCAATACTTGCGGGTTATACAATCCAATGCTTTGGGGTATTTTTAATGTTTTTGTAGGGGTGTGCGGTGATGTAAACATCATTCACTAAAGGTACCTGGGGCACAGGAATCATAAAACCAGACACAGCCATACTCGTCAATTGCGTTTGAAATCTCGGTCACTTTGCTATAATATTACTTTGTATTAAAGTTGCAAACTGACATTAACTATTAGAATAGCAAAAGCAGACATTATAATCCACAAATTTATTTCAGACTGTTCCAAAACCAGCTTGGCACTACAGCTTTGCTGAGTTGTGTAATCAATTTGAGACACTGAATTCAATAGATTATTGGTGACAAGAAGTGGTTGTGTTCTTTGCAGTATGGGTTTATAAACAGCTGCCTCCAGTCTCTGGTGATGGAAAAGTTTGGCCAGAAGACCTGGGACAAACTGAGGTTTGGGCATATATACACATATATACTAATGGACATTAGTGGCTGTCAGGATCAAGATGATCACAGCGATGATGTTAAAAATTGTATGTATGTAAATATACATATACTTATATAGATTATAATGTTTTTTTGCACAGATCTCTACCAGGGGTCCAGGATACGTTCATGACATATACAGTTTACGACGATATCCTAACCCTCAGCCTGGTGCAGGAGGCCTGTTCACTGCTGGGTAAGACTTCAAATCCTGTCTGGAGCGAAACCCTTGTAGTTTAAAATGGATGTGAGTGTTTTTTCCATAAGAAATGCAGTGGTATACACGTGGAAATTGTTATATATGAGTGGATATGAGTAACCAAATTAGTACAGCGACAAAGTACTTTACACATTGTAATTTACGTATTGTCAAAATTTCTGTTGTTAAAACAATATTATATTTACTGTTAATAATATTTTGCCCTATAACAAAAATTTAACAATGTCTGAGGTGGGAAGTTAGGTCTGTGTGTGCCTGTCAAGTGTTAACAATGTCCCTGATGAAATCCAACAGGTTACACCCAGTAGATGATTATATCACTGCATGCACAATCACTACATGCAATTTAAATCCCAGAATATGGTGCTAACTTGGAGGAAAATAGTTACTTCTTACAATTCATTGCAGTTGCTAAACAGTTGTTGTGCAGAAAGGATCGCCAAGTGACTTTAATTTAATCCCATGTTAGATTATTAAATACCTATATTTCCTTTTTAATTGATTTTTTTAAATTATGTCAGCGCAGAAGAAACATTGTAAGGGGAGACTATGGTATGCTACACATTTGTAATGGGTCAGTTATTTATTCATACATATATACATCAAATTTGGCAGGTACATGATAGATTATGAAACTACTAACAAGCCCCTGTGCACAGATGTTAAAAACATAACAAGAATTGTTTATTTGGTGCATTTCTCAGGGGTGTGATTATCTAGACTTTTGGGAATAGACTGTAATTGAATGTCTGTTTGCTGCCAAACAGGAGTGCACCGGGAGCCCAGACTACAAAATGTTGTATATGATATAAATAATATTTATATAAAGTTCTGTGACAGTGTTCCTCTGTATGTCTTTTGATGTTTCAGATGTCCCCGCTGATGTATTTCTTAAGCTTTTTGGAGAACATTTCTTTACTTTTTGTAAGCAAGCGGGCTATGACACCATGCTGAGGACACTGGGAGGAAATCTCATTGAATTCATAGGAAATCTGGATGCTCTCCATAGTTACCTGGCTCTGTCCTATCAGGTACGAACAAGTGTGCCATTATTTCTGTTTCTATCCCATTAACCAACGACTCCTCATACCTAAAAGAAAACAGCCAGACTTTGGCAACTTCAGCTATGTTCTTACATTCAGTGCACGGTTCACTTTAGGAAACATTTCAGTTCATCAGTGCAGAGCTCTGCTTTGTGCTACTCATCTATTATAGAGCCCCTTGTGTTGATCTTCCTAATTTCCTGCTAAGTGACGGTGAAGATAAATGCCAGACATGTAAAACGTGAAACACAGAAGCACACAGAAGTAGATAACTAATATCAAGTCAGGTCAGGGACCTTTGCCACCTTTGCCATCAGTGATATATGTGAGGAGCCTGCAGAGCCCAAAGGATACTAAAAGTCAATACCGTCTACAGCCTCAAACTCAAACGAATGTGACTTCACACGGCAAAAACAAAAAAGGCTGATCTCGCAATCCAATCAGAATCAACCTACAGGCATGCATTACTGATGTCCCAGGAGCCCAAGGTGTCTGAGGGCCCCCAGAGTCAGAATCTGTTTATGAAGTCACTGATTTTAACACTGCTCGTTGTAAAGTTAAAGAGCCAAGTCAAGTGTTGAGTTTCTTTTATCCTAATCTTTTAATATTGAGTGTCTTTATTCGTATCGTACGTTTGTTTATTTTCACAGTAACATAGGTTACAGGGCTGTGTTAATTTAATGAACTGTACCTTGTAGAGGAAATTAGAATGAGAGTTCCTTCATTTTTGTTTTCTTTTTGTTGTTTTTTTAAACTTAAACTAAATCTGAATCATACCCCTTATTTTAAAGGAAATGAACGCACCATCTTTCCGAGTGGAGATGACAGACGATGGGAAGATGCTACTTCACTACTATTCTGACAGGAAGGGCCTGTACCATATTGTACCTGGTAAAAACAGCCACACTGATTGACTCCCTCATCTACTGCATTGATCCTGATCTTACATGTTGGAAACTGTTTTGAAAAAGAAGATTTGACAAAAAAACAACCACAAAGAGACAAAGTACAAAATGCAAAACAACTAAAATGATAAGTAAAACTACTAAAGACTACTGAAGAGACTGTACACATATTAACATACAATAATAATGTTAGCATATGCTTTTAATACAGGTGATTTTCCCAACAAAGCGTGTGTGTGTGTGTGTGTTATTATGTTGTCCTCCACAGTTGGAGGTAACTGTGGTATCTGTTGCCATACGTATATTTATGTCAAAAACAGAAAACTGGCTAGCCCTAGTTTGTGCCGCTTACACATAGCTGCTGGTTGCATTAGCCGGCAAGCGCTGGCGGAAGAACAACATCTTACATGAACAAGATTTATTCCTCTTCAGTGGCAACTGGGCCTGCAGATAACTGCTCTATTTAGAGCATAACAATATATTCAGAGCATCTCATAGTAGAGCTGTTAGCCCACCTACAACACAGGTGACTCTCAAAGAAGCATAAATTAGGTCAGTCAGGCTCCCTTGTGTCCCATGATCCTCGGCGTCACAAACTATGAAGCCGCGAGGCCACACTTCTTACAGACGTTGCTCCCTCGCTCTGTTGCATTTTTACATATGCTGTGAGAGAGGCGTTTGAAGTGCGTTTACTCACACACAACCTAAATATAACCTGTGCATATTCACTTCCATGCTTCTGCAGAAACATATGTCAGGCTTTATCCTGCAGCAGACAGCTACTGAATCATTCAGCACACGCTGATCTCTCACTGCCTCCAATCCACTACGCATCCATAACTCCTTCTCACCGTTTTTCCATCTTGCTGCAGGTATCATAGAGGCAGTTGCCAGAGATTTTTTTAATAGCAAAGTGACCATGGTGGTTCTCAATCAATCAGAGGAAGATGAGCGGACAGGGAAGAAGGAGCACGTTGTGTTTCTGGTCAAAGAGACCCACCAAGCTAGCAAGACTAGAGACCTGGACCATTCCAGTTACAGAGAGGTGGGTGTCTGAGGATGTACGTACGTCCATGATCTGTTTCTCTATGTATTTATTATCTGTGTTCTCTGATTCTTGGCCCACATGTGCTCTGTGTGATTATCCCCAGGGGGCATTAAGAGCAATGAGAGAGAGGTGTGTGTCACTGGCTGGGGAAAAGAGTGGCTGGGAACTGATCAGAGCTGTGGTTCTCTCAGAAAAAGGTTAACTTTAAGTTTATATATAGCATTTATCATTTTGAAAGCCTGTTCTCGCTAAGCTTATCCATCAACCTTAGCTGTAGAGATGTACTGAGATAAACGGTTATTATATATATAGAAATAGTTCAACAACAAAACTTCACGTAAAACCACAAAAAAGTGTTGGTGGTTTTACTTTGTTTAACTATGTGGAAATTTTGTCTCGCTGTCACTCCCTGCTTCAAGTCTTTATTTTAAGGCAGACAAACCTCATCCTGACTCCAGCTCTGTAATTAACACAGACCCATTTACACACACATTCACACACTTGCTATGCAAGGTAGCATCTGCTCATCAGGAGCGATACAGCACTTCCTATCCAAAGCTCACACAATGATACTAAGCTCACCCTTACACACACTCACACAGCATCAACACAGTGCAGCGGTTATCTAAAAGGTATAGTGAATGTAAATGACATTGAATACGAAATTAAGGTTTGATTTCATGAAAAATGTGATTGTTGGCTAATATTTATGATTCATAATCTATCCAAGGACATTCACATAAAGGACTACATTGGTGTAGTATAGTAATTAAACTAAGCAGCACAGCCAGAAAGCATCTGGTAACATCTTAATGAGCTGCAAAAATGTATATTTATGCTGAAAAATGTCAAAACAATGCAAAACTATATTATACATTCTGTTGAAGAACAAACTAAAATGAAAAACCACCAGATCCTGTCATCATTCTGTGTTAGTTTACAATGTTTAAATGGTAGCTGATTACATGGGTGTGTTTGATTTACTTTCCAGGCCACCTCCAGTGCACCTTCAGTCCACATTACCCAAACAAGCTGTGGATGGAAGAGAAAACTTTCTGCAACACTTTTCCCTTCCATATTGTCTTTGATGAAAATGTAAATCCCCATGTGTCTGTGTACTTTAGCAGCTCCATGAGAGTTTTTTTTAAATTTTTTTATTAATTGGCACACTTAAAATATTTTGCTGTGGATTCTTGATACCTTGTGTTTCCGCCACCTCTCTGTTTCTGATCTCTGTCCTGGACTTGTCTTATCAGCTGAAGGTAAGGCAGGCAGGAGTGAACCTACAAAAGTTTGTTCCAGGTCTCCAGGCCCGAGATGCTACAGTGGACCAATACTTCACCATTATACACCCACAGGTAAAACACAGTCACATAGTAAAGAGTTCAAAAATGTGCAAACAGAGTTGTGAGATTGTGTGAAATGTAGCAGAATACATTAAAATACCTCAGCAGAGAAGAACACAGTCAAGTAAAGGAAAGATAGCGTATGCGTGTAGTAGAACGGAAAGAGAAAAGCCTCTATTTTGTGGCAAGCAGTGCTTCAACTGATTGGACCATGAAATTTAGAACTTAACAAATACACAAATTAAAGAAAATCAAAAGTAAACCCGGCTTTAGGTACCGCTCATCATATTTCCAAAGTTTTGGTTTCACTCCTATAGATTTGGGCTGCAATGCTTTTGGTATAAAATAATTGCATCATTTAGGTAATTCCAAGTCCTTTATGTTGCTTCCATGTGTTTCACAGCCACTGCTGCAGCAACTGCCCTGTTGGTAAGCAGGGCCAAATCAGTGGGCCCATCTTCAATAATGAACTTCTGTTCTGTTTGTTTTCAAAACACTGGCATGGTGAAAACTACAAGGGAGCCAGGGGGAGCTTGAAAAAGTGACGAGCTCCCCTAAAAACATGATTTGTGAAACGTTGGAGGGGGGTGGCGGTGCAATATCACAAACTTCACTCATTTTAAAGTTCCCCTATTATACTCCTCTTCAGGCTCATACTGTTATTTTGGGTTTTACAATTTTACATGCTTCAGTGTTCAAAAAACACACTATTCACCCTATTCTGAACCCTCCGTTTTAGCTCCTGTTTCTAAAGCTGGCAACATGTAAGAGGACCCTGCAGTGTATGTAGATAGAAATGACTCATTCTAAGGTAATAAAAACAACACAGTTCATGATGTCAGGTCTTTATACACCACTGAAAACATAGTTATGTATTACATTTCTGTCAAAAGATCCTCCTAAATATTACATGCTGGACCTTTAAAGTTCCTCTCGTGTGGTTGTGTTAAAGGCCAAATGAATGGTGTATGTGTGTGATCTGTGTCAGATAAAGGTGACAAGTTAAAAGGAGTTAGTTAGCATGCAGAGAGTCTGTGTAAAGCTCAACGTTACCAACATCAATCCAGCGTTGGCTGAGATCTACCATTACAATGCAATATAATAAAAACCTAAAGTTAACCATGGAGAAGATCACAACAACAAACCTAAGCTGTTTAATAGTCTGTTGCCGATCCGTAAAGGTAGAAAAGTTGCTTTGGCGAGCTAGTTTTCAGCTGGCAATTCTATTGTGGGTTAGCCAGGCGGGGAAGAATTGCCTTTCTTTTGCAGTCTTTTGCTGTGTTATGTTCTGAATGTCAGTGAATTGCTATTTCAACTTTAAGCTATATAGAGAATGATCAAGTGCAGTAGAATATAGTGGTGAGCAGTAGTAAACATCTCTGTCTTCCAGGTGGCTTTTACCATTGAGAGCATCAGGATATTCATCAACAGTCAGTTTGTCTTGAAGAGCTACACAGACAAACACACCACGCTCAAACTAAGAGGTGGGTTCTTATAAATACCTCCACAATTTAAAGCTATTCTGAACTGCATTCTCCTTATATGTTAACTTGTATTCAATTCATCTGTAGGTCAGATGTTGTGGATGGAGTCTCTTGGCTGTATGCTGTACCTGTGTTCTCCGAAGCTACGAAGCCTCCAGGAGCTTCAATATGTCGGCCTCCACCTGGCCGACCTGGCCCAGCATGACGTCACCAGAGACCTGGTTCTTCTTAACCAGCAACGTTTAGCTGAGATGGAGCTCACCAACCAGCTGGAGAGGAAAAAAGTAGGAAAGCAGCATTTAGCTCATGTAGTCTTTTGCGAGGGTCCTGGCCAAAATAGCAGTCCAGCTTACGAATATGATAAGAAACATGCTCAAAGTTAACGTCAATGTAATGTAAAACAAGTGAGAACATTTGCGCAAGCAGAGATGTATGTTTTTGATAAGTTGCTGTTATTATTTACTGAGAAATGAGGGCTTCACTGAGGATCTTTGTCAATCTCGGTGGCTGGGAGTAAACTCTTTATCAGGTCTTCTGCTTTGTTTTGCAAAAGGAGGCCTCACACAAATGTGTAGATCCAAAGAGTAATAGTAGCTTCAAAGCTTTCTTTCCCAGCTCCGGGTGCTTCTTCTTCACACACCCCCAAAAGCGGCAGATGTGTCAAATTTCATCTGTAGCAAACGGTCACATCCAAGAGTTTTTCCTGATGACTGACAGGAAGCTTTACCCTCTTCAAACGAGAGCAACTGATTTCTCACCCAATACAGTTCAGCAGATTTCTCCTCCATGTCAGGGAGGTAAGAATTAAAACCACCAGTCATGTTGGCTAGGTTTCCCAGTCAGTTGAGTTTGCTGAATATCTCTGCCAGATAGCGTAGTCAAGTCGGTCTCTGTCCTCAGACAAGGTGGCATGGAAATATCCGCGCTCTGACAGAAAAGTGCACACTTCAGATTGTAATTCCAACTGCATGTTGAGTATTCTCACTCAAGAGAGCCAGCGCACTTTTGTGTTCAGCTCTCATGTTTTCCAAAGGCTTCCAAACAATGGCTCTGACTGAGTTTTTTACTTTGATGCTGCCTTTGCATTTCAGAGTTTTCATTCCGAATTCATGCTATGTGCGTCAATACTGGTGCAGGATTTCCAGTTCAGACTGTTTTCACAGAAAAACACATTAACAACACTACAAATTGTCCTCTCCGATTGTTTTGCCCCTTTGATATTTTGCAGAAAAGTTTAAGTTCACAAACATCATCAGCAAAAAGCTGTGCCTTTTCACTGACATCTGTCAATTCATCGAGTTGGAATGAAAAGGATTTCCTACAGCTTGATTTGACAAAGGCGCAGTTTTGTCAGGATAGCAGAGTGCAGGTGTAGACACAAGCTGGAGCAGAATGCAGTTTGTAAGATTTATTAAACGAAGACACATTATCAGGCTTACATAGATGCAAGGCAAGCAAAGGTAGTAACCCGTAAACATAAGTTAAATTCGAAACAGAACAGAAATAATCCAAAAGATTCAACCAAGCAGAATAATTCTAGCAAGTACAGGGCACACAGCACCGACACGATGAGGACTGAACACATTAAATACAGTGGGCAAACAGCCAGGGAAGGAGCAAACAGGTGAAACAAATCAGGAAACATCTGACAACAGGAAAGCAAGTTAGACACAAACACGAGACACAGACGACTACAAAATAAAACAGGAAGTACAGCATGCAACAATACACGAGGACGAATGTAACTGAACACCAAATAAATGCCTTACTCACAAGTATTAAATGTATCTGCATAGTTTTTGTCCAGCATAGTCTCAGCCAAGACAACAGTGACTGGAAGCATTAGGTTTTCAGCTATGGTGAATGACTATTTGGCTTTAGCTACGAGCAAAGACAACGCATTAGAAGCCTTGAGGCTGATGTTGTGGCGACTTTACACATTGTTTCTTGGGATAATCTAAAGTCAGTCAGTTTTCTTTTTAAAAAACTTGTGGCTCACCAACATGACATTGATGTTTTGTGCCGAGATGTCGCTGGAGGTTTAAAGGCTTCACGCGACCGTAATTTCTCCCCGTAAAAAAAGCACAATGAGTTGGGAGGGTTGCGGCTCTATTGCTATTTACATTATGATTTCACAGCTATGAGGCAACAGCATGAAACAGATCTAGTGCTTTAAGGTATGTTATAGAGAAATAGAGAAAGTGTCATCTACCGCTTCAACTTTCACCTCAGCTCTATTAAGTGCTCACACATTATCTGCCTCTTCAACTGCTTTGTGGATTTATACTTCCGGTGCCGGTGCTGTCAACTAATCTCTTCCTCCATTTTAACAACCACCTTTACATTTCCCAGTGCTTATACTTCAAATGTCACTTTTCTTTCTGTACGCCCAAGTGATTAAATTACATTTCAGTAGGGGTCGGGGGAAAATAATAAAATAATAAAATGAATTGCTTTTTCAGTCCACTAGACAAAGAGTTTTCCTTTGGGGACACAATTTAAAGTTGGGAAAAAGTAATAAATTCCAATGCAATTAGTTTAAAATCTAAATAATACTGTATCGTGACATAAGTATCGTGATGATTCCCACCCCTACATTTCAGTAGCTCCAAAGAATCCAAATGTTAAGATAAGATGTTTTAAAGAACAAATTGTCAGCCTAGGTGAGAACATGTAAATTTCCCTTTGCAAATGTGTTTTTTTATCTAGTTTTCTTCTAGTTTCATGAATCTATGATTATATTTACAGACACAGGACTAAGACTGGGGCAATTTCCCGCGTAGAAACTAGCTCACTTCAAAGTCTGATGAGAACCAATGAAGGTTTTTTGTTTAGAGCACTAAAAAGTAGGTCATCCTATGCCCCCACCACCCCTTTTTAATGTTTCTCTCTGACCCAGTTTGGAAGCCCCACTGCACTATATGGATTTGTGACAATATACGAATATGAGATTTGTACAGCTGTTATGCTTAATTCTTTTCACAAGTAGGGAAATATAATTTCTTGTATTTGTGTGTGATTGTATCTGTCTTTAGGAGGAACTGAGAATCCTGTCGCGGCACCTTGAGATTGAAAAAGAAAAGACAGAGACTCTGCTGTATGCCATGCTGCCACGCCACATAGCCAATCAGCTTAAAGATGGGAAGAGCGTAAAGGCAGGTCAGTCAGTCCATCAACCCTGTTGTCTTTTTCTACATATCTATCTGTTGCTCTGTCAAAGTGTCTGTGTTTTTCAGGGGAGTTTGAGGTGTGCACTATTTTGTTCAGTGATGTGGTAACCTTCACAAACATCTGTGCTGCCTGTGAGCCCATCCAAATTGTTCACATGCTCAACTCCATGTACTCCAAGTTTGACCGGCTCACCACTGTACACGACGTCTACAAGGTATTATCTTATTTGTTATTGTGGTGGTTGAAATAACTCTGTGTAGATGTCGTGTTTAAACAAGGAAAATGTTCTGTTTCCCACCTGTGTTTACTCAGACCTTTCTGTGTGCAGAATACGTTTCACTTTTATAAGAAGTTTTTTACCGCCCTGCAAAGTAATACTAGTAACCTTACATTTAGATTTCACTATTTCAATCAAATATTACTTACATTTCTGTTTTTATGTCTTGTTGTTTCCTGAAGGTTGAGACTATTGGTGATGCATACATGGTGGTGGGTGGCATCCCAGTCCCTACAGAAACCCATGCTCACAGAGTGGCAAACTTTGCTTTGGGTATGAGGATAGCAGCCAGAGAGGTCACCAACCCCGTAACAGGCGAGCCCATACAGGTAAGATTTGAGTTTTTCATCAAATACAAGTGACTATATTTGTGGATCATGGAAAGTTTGTTTGTGGATTTTGAATCTATTTGTAGATAATGTTGTGTGTTTACAAATAGTGACATTTATTTGTGACTCATACTCTGTGCAGTAATGTCCTCTGCTTTAGTAGATTGTTGACAGAAGACATTTTAGCCCCTACATGCATCTAAGGATCTATGGTTCTGTTGCATTTACATCTAAAGCGTTGGTTTCCCCAAATTACGATAAATCATATTTTCCGGTATTATCTATCTCTGCATACAGATTTGATTTGTTCAGATTTTCTGCCTCCAACAGAATTTGATTTATGATGCATTGAAAAAATACAACTTTATCATCCATTCAGATCCGTGTGGGTATGCATAGCGGTCCAGTGTTAGCTGGGGTGGTGGGAGAGAAGATGCCTCGCTACTGTCTGTTTGGAGACACTGTTAACACTGCGTCCAGGATGGAGAGTCATGGAGTCCCTGACCACATTCACATCAGCACTCCCACATATAGGTGTGTGTGTATGTGTATGCTTTTATCTCACCACCAGCCAACTGCTGGTGTGTGTGTGCTCTGTGTGTGTATATATATATATATATATATATATATATATATATATATACACATTACCGTGGTTTTTACGCTGCCTAGCTGCCAGGTTTTCTCCTCGATACCCAATGTTTGTTGAAACTAAATCTCGGTGTCATCTCATGCGCACAGAGCTGCAACTAACCCACTATCAACTTGTCGAGATAAGAAGCTAAATCCAATGTGCAGAGATAATACTGCTAATTATGAGGGCAGACAGGATGGACATACACTATCTGAAACATGATGAGGACGCAGCTCTTTGCTAGTTATCATATTCCTCATACAGTTTATCCTGCTGTAATATTATTTCCATGAAAGTTTCAGATTTAACTATAGAAAATGTAGTACAGCTAGATTTTTATTCCAAAAAATATGTGTAGTTATTCTGATACATACTTATAAAAGACTTCTGTGTCCCTCGGTGTACCCCTCAACCCACTCCCGTCTCCTCATCAGTGAACTGAAGAATTCAGGGTTCAACATACAAGAGCGTGGGCAGATTGAGGTGAAGGGCAAAGGCCAGATGACCACTTACTTCCTGTTAGGGAACCTGCTGGTGTCAGAAGATAGCATCATGGGACGAGAGGTTGGAGAAACCCGTCTTTACATGGAGGACCTTCATGGCAAGGGCAAAACAGGTAAAGAACAAAATATGGAATTAAAATAATAAGTGTCATTAAGGAGGGTTAGTGACGATATACTCTGTACATTTGTTCTTGAAATACTGACAATGAAAAGAAGTGTGACAACCGTGTCAGCAAGATGAGGCTGTTGGGATGTTTGGCTAAAAGACTAATTACCAACCATATCTAATGATTCATTTTTCATAATATGTTGTTTTTTGTCGTCACATTTTGATTATTTTTGAGCATGAAATAAGTTTTTTATTATGCTATACGCACAGAGAGCCAGCACAGCAGACCAGACTTGTTCATCTGAGAGTTGATTAATGGGAATTCTGAAGTACTATGAGATAAACGTTTGACTCAAGCACAGAGGCTGTATTATATAGGTCATTACTGTCATTATGCTTTACTGTCATTACGTGTAGTCCTGGTCGTGTTTTTCTTGCGGTTGGTTTGTAAAACAATTAGCCTGCGGCAGTGCTGATACAGCGGAAGTAGAGGTCAGTGTGTTTACCAGAGAAACTAGAGCTTACAAGACAGTGCTTGCTAACCACAGTAGAATAAAGAGGTCAAGCTGACACAAAATGTGGAGGAGAGACAAAGCATGGCGAGAGATGAGGAGAGTAACAGGGTAGAGTAGATATATTTGATCTGACAACATATCAAGGAAGAACTCGCATAAACAGGTCTGCATGTGCATGTGCTGCTTTGGATAAAATTGTACGGTGGAGTTGCACTAGAAGAAAGTACACAGTTATATTAGCAGGAGAGCAACCATTTAAGAATATAGTGAACACGTGGAGTGTATGCAAGAATGCATTCACTGTGAGCAGCATATTCATTAAAATAGAGAATGGGGAAAACCATGTTCTGCTACTTGACCTCTTGTTACTTATAAGTGATTACTATGTACACCCAGAGCCCTTTACTTAAATGGGCTTTAAATTACTTATATGGTTATTACTCGTGTTGGGTGAATGGAGCCTTACAAATCTTTGGTCATCCTGTGGTTTGCAAAAAAATTGATTTAACAGTTTTAGTCTTTTATGTAAGCAATTAAAGTGTTATAGACCTGCAGTTGTTTATTAAAATCTTTAATAATAGTGCTCAGAAGTACTGCAGTAAATGAATGTCTTCAGTTAGGAGGTATTCTTCATTTGACTCAAGCTCCATTACAATGTTTTGAAACAGCGAGCTCTGCAGAGCTTCATACCTTATTAGTTACGTGCGGACTTTGGTAGACTTTTGACCCTTTAATATGCCCTTTTCATTTAGAGCCTGACAAAGAGCCTGATGTGAGAACTAAGACTGAGCAGAGGAACACACTCTCAGATGGAGTCATCGCCTCGGACCTCAGCCGCTTAGACGCCATCACTCCCTTTGCCTGGGACATCACCTCGCCGTATGAGACCAACGAGAACAGCTACAACACACCTGCAAAGAGCAGACTGTGTGTCTTACTCTGACTTAGAACCCTCTCAGCCTGATACAGCTCATTAAAATTTAACAGAAGATGACGGCATACATCTCATCTCTGTGCAGTCTAAAAGGACTTGGGTGTGAGAGCTGCTTTTAAAAACAAAATGATGTAGTAGTTATGAACTATGCCTACCGGTCGATGAGGTGGAAAAGGTGCCTTGTCAGCAGTTGCTTTTTTGCTGTGGATGACCGTCTACAAACAGGCACGATTCTCCTTGTTGTGGGTTCAGTCTGTCTCCAAAATGCCTGTAGATGTCAGTAGCTGGCAAATCTGAAAGAGTGAAATAAAATGATTCCTCATTGCCCTAATAGATCTGAAATGTAATCACCTAGGTCTTAAAGTTGAGTCCACTATAAACTGCACCTGTATAAACCAGCAATAATTGAGAGAGTAGAGATTGTAAAAAAATTTGTAGCTCTATGTGTTAATGTCAAATGATATCTTATTATATAGTTTTTATTCATTTACTTTAATATGGTCCTGTGTTATTCTTTTATTTTCTTTCTTTATTATTATACAGGAAAAGATTAATATTCATATTACTCACAGTGGGCCCACATAAAAGATCTTATTATTATATTATTATGTTTTATTTTACATAGAACCACTGGTTTTCTCCCAAAAAGTTATGATATGAATTTCAACATGTAATGCTGAAGACTTCATAGCCTTTCTTCAGGTAAGACTCTCATCCTGCATACTGAGAAAATGATAATGTCGCTAACCCCGCCTGTCAGCTCGCTCAATGAATTTACCATAAAGGTCCCAAATACGTTTGTACTCCAAATTTAGCTGCAGCTAGCCGACCTTGTTCTCACAAACAACGCCTCGATTAATCGCAGTTCTGTTTGCGAGTATGTCGCTAAACACAGTTTGTCAGAGTGTCCACACAAGAAAAGAGGAAGAAAAAAAGGGGAAGCTATTTACTTTCTTATATATACTGGGGGGCCAGCAGTTACAGAAGGAGGACATGGTTAAGAATTAAAAGTTAACACATTTAGAATAAAGTTAATGTGGACTGCATCAGCCGTGGTACGAGGAGATTGTTTGCCAGCACACCTGTGGCAGTACTGAAAATAGAAACTTAGGAGTTAAAAAAGCACATAGTGTGGGTGTAGCTCAATGAATAATGATGAAGGCTTTATCTTTTAAAATCACCCCAGACCACTTGCTGCTGTGTGTCTTCCTGAGCCTTCTTTGGGTAAGTTTTTCTTTTTACCTTTCACTTTGATAGACAGTTACCCTCAACAACAAAAAACTATAGTCAAAACTCAGTGGATGTATGCATCATAACAAGTTAAGCTGCATGGAATCAGCATGTAGGAAGACAAAAAGACTTAAGAATGATGGGCTTTTTCAGATGGTGAAATATGAATTCATTATTTCTCTGCAGCAGTAATCTGTTAGCACGTCCTCATAGAAACAAGCCCAGGTGAGGAAATAACTTACTTTAAAATAGAAAGGGAGCTATACCTTTTATATCTTTATTTACTTTGTGTTTCAGACAAGGCAATGTAACTGAAGCCCTTGAAAGATATTTGTACACAAAAATATCTGTATTTGAAAGAAATACACTGGTTGGACAGTTGTGTCTGAATAATTTTTTTGTCAGGTCTGTTATTAGCATATTTTGGGTGTTGCACTTGAAGATTCAGAGGTAGAAGTGCGAAATGCTAAAACCGGGACATCATTTGCATTTGAAGATCTCTGATGTTTCCTCAAGGTTCCTGCACAACACGATCCTACATTCCCCTCAAATTGTTTGGTCAACATGTTTGGGATGTAAGCTTTGTACCTATAAGGAAAGTAGAATAGAAGCCTCTAAACAGGAGTGTTTTTTTAATATAGATACAAGATAATAGCAGAAATTACATTGCTTGGGGATACTCGCATTCGAGATTGCATTATAGGCTCAACAGTGTAGATTACATAGTCAGATGGACACTTCCGGCAATTTTGTACAGTGACAAATAGATTTAGATAATGTTTGGGATTCTCTCTGGGCCGCAATGATTCCTATTCTGTTTTTAGGGTTTCACTGACGCCTGGACAACATCAACAACAATCTCTTCTGTAGAAAAACTATGTAAGTGGGAGCGGCAAAGCTTTTTTTTTTGGTTGATGACAAGTCTGTGTTATATTATGGCAGTCATGAATGAATTTTATTGTGTTGAAACTATCACACTCAACTCAACACTCTCTAATAAAACTGTTTTTTCACCTAAATAGTTTTACCAAGGAGGACGTCCTGTAATTTTTTTAATCCTATTTTTGTGTGTGTTCATATTCCAGCTCCTCGTAACACAGAAGAGTTCAAATCAGTTGACCAAAATGAGACCCGTATAACTCTGCAGTGGAAGAAAGTGAATGGCACCTTGAACTATATACTTGAATTCAATGGAAAGGAGATAAAAGTCACTGCATCAGAGGGACAAGAACATGTGACACACACAATCTCAGAACTCACAAGCGGGACTAAATATGATTTCAGTCTCTTCACGGTGTTTGAAAATGTCAGAAGCAGCGGAGTAAACATCACTGCAGTCACTGGTAAGATGTTTTTCCTCTGATATAGGCTACAAGAGCCACAGCAGAGCTCTGTAACAATATCTAATTTAAAGTGTCTCAGTAACAGAGGGGTGTTGCTCACTTCATAGTTTTGACTGTTGCAGATACAATACTGAAACTGAATGCAACTTATTATTTGTTTGGAAAAACTGCACAAAACATAACATTTTAGTAGGAATATCCTGTCATTCAAAAAAAGAAAAATTTTGTCAGTTTCTTCTCCATGTCTTTTACATCCTAGCTCCTTAAAAATGGAACTGAATGCAAGTTATTATTTGTTTAAAAGAAACTACACAAACGCAACATTTTAAATCAAATTTTGTGACACTTCCTTAATTGTGTGTGTTCATATTCCAGCTCCTCGTAACCCAGAAGAGTTCAAATCAGTTGGACAAAATGAGACCAGTATCAATCTGCAGTGGAAGAAAGTGAATGACATCCTCAACTATATACTTGAATTCGATGGAAGGATGATAAATGTTGCTGCATCAGAGGGACAAGAACATGTGACACACACAATCTCATTAGTCACAAGCGGGACTAAATATGATTTCAGTCTCTTCACTGTGTTTGAAAATGTCAGAAGCAGAGGAGTAAACATCACTGCAGTCACTGGTAAGATGTTTTCCCTCTGACATAGGCTACAAGAGCCACAGCAGAGCTCTGTAACAATATCTAATTTAAAGTGTCTCAGTAACAGAGGGGTGTTGCTCACTTCATAATTTTGACTGTTGCAGATACAATACTGAAACTGAATGCAACTTATTATTTGTATGGAAAAACTGTACAAAACATAACATTTTAGTAGGAATATCCTGTCATTCAAAAAAAGTCAAATCTTGTCAGTTTCTTCTCCATGTCTTTTACATCCTAGCTGCTTAAAAATGGAACTGAATGCAACTTATTATTTGTTTTAAAGAAACTACACAAACGCAACATTTTAAATCAAATTTTGTGACACTTCCTTAATTGTGTGTGTTCATATTCCAGCTCCTCGTAACCCAGAAGAGTTCAAATCAGTTGGACAAAATGAGACCAGTATCAATCTGCAGTGGAAGAAAGTGAATGACACCCTCAACTATATACTTGAATTCAATGGAAGCGAGATAAATGTCACTGCATCAGAGGGACAAGAACATGTGACACACACAATCTCAGAACTCACAAGTGCGACTAAATATGATTTCAGTCTCTTTACTGTGTTTGAAAATGTCAGAAGCAGCGGAGTAAACATCACTGCAGTCACTGGTAAGATGTTTTTCCTCTGATATAGGCTACAAGAGCCACAGCAGAGCTCTGTAACAATATCTAATTTAAAGTGTCTCAGTAACAGAGGGGTGTTGCTCACTTCATAGTTTCGACTGTTGCAGATACAATACTGAAACTGAATGTAACTTATTATTTGTATGGAAAAACTGTACAAAACATAACATTTTAGTAGGAATATCCTGTCATTCAAAAAAAGTCAAATCTTGTCAGTTTCCTCTCCATGTCTTTTACATCCTAGCTCCTTAAAAATGGAACTGAATGCTACTTCTTATTTGTTTAAAAGAAACTACGCAAACGTAACATTTTAAATTAAATTTTGTGACACTTCCTTATTTGTGTTTCTTTACATTCCAGCTCCTCGTAACACAGAAGAGTTAAAATCAGTTGGACAAAATGAAAACAGTGTAACTCTGCAGTGTTGGAAAGTGAATGACATCCTCAACTATGTCATTTTGTTCAGTGGAAGCGAGATAAATGTCACTGCATCAGAGGGACGAGAACACGTGACACACACAATCTCAGAACTCACAAGTGGGACTAAATATGATTTCAGTCTCTTTACTGTGTTTGAAAATGTCAGAAGCAGAGGAGTAAACATCACTGCAGTCACTGGTAAGATGTTTTTCCTCTGATATAGGCTACAAGAGCCACAGCAGAGCTCTGTAACAATATCTAATTTAAAGCGTCTCAGTAACAGAGGGGTGTTGCTCACTTCATAGTTTCGACGGTTACAGATACAATAATGGAACTGAATGCAACTTGTTTGTTTGGAAACTGAACAAAATGCAACATTAGACTGGGAATATTTTGTCATTTAAAAAAATCACTTTTTTTTTTTTTTTTACAGTTTTCTTTTTGTGTCTTTTACATTCCAGCTCCTTCTAACCCAGAAAAGTTCAAACCAGTAGGAAAAAATGAGACCAGTATAACTCTGCAGTGGAATAAAGTGAATAACATCCTCAACTATATACTTGAATTCAATGGAAGGATGATAAATGTTGCTGCATCAGAGGGACAAGGACACGTGACTCACACAATCTCAGAACTCACAAGTGGGACTAAATATGATTTCAGTCTCTTCACTGTGTTTGAAAATGTCAGAAGCAGAGGAGTAAGCATCACTGGTAAGATATTTTTTCTTATTCAGTC